ACATTTAACAACATACATTATTTAAAAATTTTTAGGGCTAGGTACCTACTAGAAACCAAAAGGCTTTTATTTAAGGTCGCTAGATACAAATTCAAATTAAATAACTATAACATATATAAGGTGCCAGTTCGAGTGTTTTTCATTGTAGTAAGGATAGGGAAGAGAAAAAAGAAAAGGAGAATAGTAACAAGTACTAAGATATAATGATAAGCTATGTTTAAAATTTTACAATAGAAATGGAGAAAAGTAAGTTTGTTAACAAGGAATAATATAGTATATATATATATATATATAGTTAATTTACAGCTAGTGAAAAGGATGTTAATTCGTTGTTTTTAAATGCAGATAGAAATTTTTCATTGTTTTCTTGAAAGAGCCATACGATCTATTTTCTTTATATTTCGAAGGAAGATTATTCCATATATCAATTCCCTTATTAGTTAGAGTATGTTTTGTATAATTTGTTCTGCTACACTTTTTGTGTAATAATGATGAGTTTCGTGTATTGTAGTTATGGATTTCCTTATTGGTAGAAAAATAATTTGTGAATGTTTCTGGTAAATTTTGAAGATTGAAATACCTGAACATAAAAATACTTGTTAAATAATCATTTATTGTGTATATGTTAAGTATTTGCAATTCTAAAAAAATGGGTTCAGTGTGATTAGTATAATTCTTAAAAGTCATTAATCTTACAATTTTTTTTTGAATGTTCATTAACTTTGAAATACGAGATTTGTACGTATTACCCCAAATGAGGTTACCATAGATTAGATATGGATAGACCAATGCGTAGTAAATGAGTTTTAGAGAATTTAAGTTTGTAAAATGCCGAATTCTGGAAATAATAGCTGCACATCTGATCATTTTCTTTGCTATTAAATCTAGATGATAACACCATGTTAAAAATTCATCAATAACAATTCCTAAAAATGTGATACTCTTGGCTTGTTTTATGGCCTCATTATTTAAAGAAATTTTAACATTGTATTTAGATTTTTTATTTTTTGATCTAAAAAGAACAAATTTGGTTTTTGTAATATTGATAGAAAGTTTGTTGACACTTAGCCAGTCAGAAATTTTGTTAATTTCAATTTGAATAATTTCATTTAAAGTTTTAAGACAAGAGTGACTATAAAGTATATTTGTGTCATCCGCATCTCATCAATAAATAAATTCTTTTGGTCCGAGTATCAGGATAGACATTAATACTAAATAAATAACAACCACACTGTTCGGTCTAGAGATCTATATTTTCTTGTAGGTTTAATATCGCCATTCGCCACGCTGCACAAGCGGCAAGCGTGCTTTCTTTGGCAAATCTATATTAAAGTTGAATATTGAAATCTGATCCAACTTGCTTGAATTGTAACTCGACACCAGATTATAGAGTAGAGAGTCACGATATAAATATTAATTTAGGAGTTCTCTTTACGATTTCTTGTTGCAAATTTACAGTAAATTTCATCACCCAAAGTTGCAATTTTAAAACGCTACAAACACGCTCCTTTCCCACCCCTCTCACAGTTACAATTAAATTTACCTCCCAGAATCTGGGAGGCACGTGACCAGCCGCAGCCAGGGTCTCTCCCAGATGACAGAAGGAGAGACCCTGGGAACGAGGTTGACTCCGTGTTTTCCATATGACTCCGTGTTTTCCATATTTTTCTCTGACGTCAGACTCCGTGTTTTCCATATGACTCCGTGTTTTCCATATTTTTATGACGTCAGACTCCGTGTTTTCCATATGACTCCGTGTTTTCCATATTTTTATGACGTCAGACTCCGTGTTTTCCATATGACTCCGTATTTTCCATATTTTTCCCTGACGTCAGACTCCGTGTTTTCCATATGACTCCGTGTTTTCCATATTTTTATGACGTCAGACTCCGGGACTCCGACTCCGGCACTCCGACTCCGGGGCTCCGACTCCGGAACTCCGACTCCGTGTTTTCCATCTAACCTAAATACAAGGAATTTTTAAAATTTTGTTGGTATAAATGGGATAAAGAAGCTCATCAAATATTTGGACTATGGACCTTCAAACTTATGCCAAGTATTTATTTGATTGATTAGCTCAATAACTGTTTTTTGGCTCGTTTTTCGTCGATTTCTACATTTAGTCGAGCTTAGTCGACTTCTAAATAATGTGTCAACATTGCGTGTTGCACCCTGTGGACATGAATATTTTCGTTTGTTTGACAATAACACTTGTCTTCATTGGTTTTAATCCTTGATTGACAATATATTCATTGGTCTCAGAGTCCTAAACTTAAGGAAGATGGATGACATTGGGACAGAATGATTTTGTTCAATGTTGCTGTTCAGGTATCAAAATTTATGGATATATACCTGTATATGAACTTCATTGTTTTTTTACTTCATCTGGCTCACTTGTCA